TTACTCAAAGCTAGTTATATTCCCAGTATGTTCATTCTGGTAATTCTGTTGCCGGGAAAGAAGCTGGAATTGTTATAGGAGAGTCTGTGAAGTTGGAGTTACTAGCAAGTCTTGCACCAGTGAATTGAGGGCATGTCTGAAAGTGGAACCAACACAGAAGAAAGTAGAACCAATATTATTTGGTCCTTACATTCAACTGTGCCTAAAACCAGAACCCCACTTTAGATTTCTCAGTTACATGAGCCAAACGCATTTTCTTTTTCCTTTTGAGACAAGGTCTCACTCTTTTGCCCAGGCTGGAGTGCAGTGGCATGTTCACAGCTTACTGCAGCCACAATTTCCTGAGCTCAAGCCACCTTCCCACCTCAACTTCCTGAACTCAAGTCACCCTCCCACCTCAGCCTCCTGAGCAGCTGGCACTACAGGCTTGCCACCATACCCGGCTAATTTTTTGATTTTTTTTTTTTTTTGTAGAAGCAGTATCTGACTGTGTTGCCCAGGCTGGTCTTGAACTCCTGGTCTCAAATGATTCTCCTGCCTTGGCCTCCTAAAGTGCTGGGATTACAGGTGTAAGCCACTGTACCTGGCCTGCATTTTCTTTTTATTCAAGTCAGGTCAAGTTATGTTTTGGGTCACTTGCCAACCTTTGTTAAGACAAAGTAGGCAGAAGAAATGGAGTCACTGAATCAGAATAGAAAGGAGTAAATGGCCTGCATGAGAGGAAGAAAATCCAGAAAAAAGTAAAGGGAAGAACGCATTCAGGAATGCATTTTCAATAATTTGAACACTGGATGATGAAACAAAGGAATGCTAAAGTAAGGACACAAGAAGCTTATGAAAGTATTCGGTACAAAATAGATCAAAAATTGTATCTAGTGGTATGTATACACAGTGGAATACTATTTTGCCTTAAAAAATGGAAATCCTGCACTTTGGGAGGCCAAGGTGGGTGGATCACGAGGTCAGGAGATCTAGACAATCCTGGCTAACATGGTGAAACCCCGTCTCTACTAAAAATACAAAAATTAGACAGGTACGGTGGCGGGCACCTGTAGTCGCAGCTACTCAGGAAGCTGAGGGAGGAAAATGGTGTGAACCCAGGAGGCGGAGCTTGCAGTGAGCTGAGATCATGCCCCTGTACTCCGTCCTGGGCGACAGAGTGAGACTGTGTCTCAAAAAAAAAAAAAAAAGGAAATCCTGTTATTTGTGACAACATGGATGAACCTGGAGGACATTGTGTGAAGTAAAATAAACCAGGCAAAGAAACACAAATACTACATGATCTCACTTATATGTAGAATCTAAAAAAGTACAACTCATAGAAACAGAGGATAGTGATGGTCAAGGGCTGAGGGTGAAGAAGGGGAGAATGGGGAGATGTTGGTCAAAGGATACATATCTTTTTTTCTTTTTTGAGATGGAATCTCACTCTGTTGCTCTGGAGTGCAGTGGCGTGATCTCAGCTCACTGCAACCTCTGCCGCCTGGGTTCAAGCGATTCTCCTGCCTCAGCCTTCTGAGTAGCTGGGATTACAGGCACCTGCCACCACACCTGGCTAATTTTTATAGTTTTAGTAGAGATGGGGTTTCACCATCTTGGCCAGGCTGGTCTTGAACTCCTGACCTCGTGATCCACCCGCCTAGGCCTCACAAAGTTCTGGGATTACAGGCATGAGCCCCCGCGCCCAGCCAGGATACAACATTTCAGTTAGGAGGAATAAGTTTAAGAGATCTGTTATATAACATGGCGACTATAGTCAATAAAAACGTATACTTGATAATTGCCAAGAGAATAGATTATAAATGTTCTCACCCCAAAGTAATAAAAGTATGTGAGGTAATGCATATGTTTATTAGCTTGATTTAGCCATTCCATCATGTATATGTTGTACCTGAGCGAGTCAGAGAGAAATGCCACACTTTGAGATGAATTCAGGAGTCCTTTATTAGCCGGCGACTGAGAGACGGCTAACGCACGAAATTCTCTCGGCCCGAAGAAGCGGCTAGATTTTCTTTTATACTTTGGTTTGGAGAGGGGAAGGGGATTCTAGCTGTAGCAATCTTACAGAAGAGAAACAGACAAAAAGGTTAAAAAGACAAATGGTTACAGGAAAACAAACAGTTCCAGGTGCAGGGGCTTTAAATTCATCACAAAGTGATAGGTGAGGGGGCTCTGGGCGTTATCTACCAGACAAACATGGGGGCTTTATGGTACCATCTCCGAGTAAATTGCGGGGAACTGCAATTATAAGTGTGAGCCACTGCACCTGGCCAATATGTACAATTTTTATTTGTCAATTAAAAAAACCAAAAAATTGGCTGGGCACAGTGACTCACACTTGTAATTCCAGCACTTTGGGACGCTGAAGTGCGTGGATCACCTGAGGTCAAGGAGTTCAAGACCAGCCTGGCCAACACTATGAAACCTCATTTCTACTAAAAATACAAGAGTTAGCCGGGCATGGTGGCAGGTGCCTGTAATCCCAGCTACTCGAGAGGCTGAGGCAGGAGAATTGCTTGAACCCAGGAAGCGGAGGGTGCAGTGAGCTGAGATTGCACCACTGCACTCCAGCGTGGGAGACAAGAGTGAAACTCCGTCTCAAAAAAAAAAAAAAAAAAAAAAGGCCAGGCGCGGCGGCTCACCCCTGTAATCCCAGCACTTTGGGAGGCTGAGGCAAGTGGATCACCTGAGGTCAGGAATTCGAGACATCCTGGCCAACACGGCGAAACCCCATCTCTACTAAAAATCAAAAATTAGCCAGGTGTGGTGTTGGGCGCCTGTAATCCCAGCTACTCGGGAGGTGAGGCAGGAGAATCTCTTGAACCCAGCAGGCAGAGGGGGCTGGTCTCCAGAAAGACCCAGGAGTGGAATGGGAATGTTCAGCTTCACCTCCTGAACGCTGGGGAGGGGAATGGGGCTGGATGTTGAGGTCAATCACCAAGGCCAATGTTTCAATCAATTTTGCCCATGTAATAAAACCTCCATTAAAACCCCTGAACAGGGGCCAGGTACAGTGCCTGTAATCCCAACACTTTGGGAGGCCGAGGCGGGCAGATCACTTGAGCCCAGGAGTTCAAGACCAGCCTGGCTAACATGGTGAAACCCCGTCTCTACTAAAAGTAAAAAAAAGTAGCCCAGCATCATGGTGCGTGCCTGTAATCTCAGCTACTTGGGAGACTGAGGTAGGAGAACCACTTGAACCCAGGAGGCGAAGGTTGCAGTAACCTGAAATCATGCCACTGCATTCCAGCCTGGGCAACAAAGTGAGACTCTGCCTCAAAAAGTAAACAACCCCTGAAAAGGCCAGTTTCAGTATCTCACACCTGAAATCCCAGCACTTTGGGAGGCCGAGTCAGGCAGGTCACTTGAGGCCAGGAGTTCGAAACCAGCCTGGCCAACATGGTGAAACCCCATCTGTACTAAAAATACAAAAATTAACTAGGCATATTGGCCCACGCCTATAATCCCAGCTACTCAGGGGACTGAGGCAGGAGAATCGCTTAAACCCAGGAGGTGGAGGTTGCAGTGAGTCAAGATGGCGCCACTGCATTGTAGCCTGGGCAATAGAGCAAGACTCTATCTCAAAAACAAATAAACCAACCCCTGAACAATAAGAATTGGAGAGCTTCTGGGTTGGTGAACACGTCAAGGTACCAGGAGGGTAATATGCCCAGAGTGCATCTCTTCGTCTGGCTGTTTCTGAGTTGTATGCTGTATAATAAACGAGTACATGTCCCTTCTCTACAAAATAAGTTTTTTAATAAATTAGCCAGACTACTGAGGAGGCTGAGGCAAGATCACTTCAGCCCAGGAGTTCAAGGTTACAGTGAGCTGTGATCATGCCACTGCACTCCGGCTTGGGTGACAGCAGGACGAGACTCTGTCTCAAAAAAAACAGCAGTAAATATAACGTGTTTCTCTGAGTTTTGTGAGCTGTTTTAGCAAATTATTGAACTTGACAAGTAGCACAATCATTGGATCAGGGTCACAGGAACCCCCAATTTACAGCCCGTTGATCTTAGAAGCCCAAGTGACAGCCTGGTACTTGAAAATAGCCTCTGCAGTGAAAGCAGTCTTGTGGGACTGAGCCTTTAGGCCTGTGCAGTCTGACACAAACTCTAGGTAGTTAGTGGCAGAACTGAACTGAATTGTAGTGACACCCGCTTGGTGTCTGGAGAGTTGGAGAACCAGTTGTCAGAAGTGTTGTGAGCAAAAACAGTTCAGAGTAGCCTTCTGTGTCTGGCTGCTTTCACACAGCATCATGTTTTAGGATTCATCTGTGTTGCTGCTTTTTATTACTGAATTGTATTCCTTTGTATGGACGAATTATCATTTGTATATCCAATCACTAGTTGATGAACAGTTGAGTTTTCCCATCTTTTGTTTATTATGAATAAAGCTGCCATAAACATTCACATAGAGATCTTTTTATAGACATGTGGTTTCACTTCTCTTGCTTAAATGGCCAGGATCAGGATTGCTGGTCATATGGCAAATGCATATTTAACTTTATTTTATTTTATTTTATTTTATTGAGTATTTAGCAAAACTATAATCTCTTTTTATTATGTAAACAGATAACAAGATAAAATAACTATATAACTCAGAACTTTAAAGTTTATCATGTTTATGCTAGACATATTGTATTTTCAGAAAATGCATGCTTTCTAAACTGTGTTAAGAAAAATCCTTAAAACTATTCAATCAAATCAGGCCAATTATACATCTTCTTGACAATTTTCTTTCAATAATAATGTGTATCTAAAAGACAGTAAATGTCTTATCTTGGAAAGAATTCCCCTCTTATTTCATCTGGCTTACTCTTACTATCTTTTCGGTCTCGAATGTTAACTTCTTCCAGAGGCCTTCCCCAAATCCACATTATATGCCCCAGTTATATACCACTTTCTACTTCCACTAACAAAGCATTTAAATACACTGTATTGCAACTGTCTAGAGGTCAAAAATAAAATTAGAACAGCCTCAAACTGGTAGAGAAATCAACCCTTCAGATTAGGCTGCAGTTGTAAACAAGAAGGGTGGGCAGAAGTTGGAAGGCCATAAGTGAGAAACTTCCTTGTGAAGGAGAAAGGCTTTGCAAAGGCTTCTCAAAGAAGTGCGACAGCCAAACAGGACAGTAAGACTGACTGTATGCTGTGACTTACACTGATCCATTCACTTCTATAATATATATGATGGTTTAAAAATTAGATGAGTCAATTTAAGAAAAAGGGTAGTACACACTTTATTTTAAAGATTCACAAACTGGATAAACCTCACCTGTCATAGGATCAAAGAGCTGATTAGCTTCTAAGTCTGTGAAAGCACTACTACAGAGAAGACATTTGAAGGAAGCCCAGTTGGTCGAATCTCTCTCATCAGTCTCAATACTCCTTCTCATGTGGTCCAATTTATATTTTACCACATTAACAAGAGTACAATAATTGATGAAGTAGTAGTTATGGCGAGTGGTTTTGCTGTCTGCAGCAGTCTCTACCCTCATTCTGCATTTGATAAACTTGTCTCCCTTTAAATTATTCAAAACTAATCGAAGTTGCTTCCGATCAAACTTGAGCAGCTCCAGCATATCCTCTTTCACACAGGGGTTCCTGATCAAGATATCCAAGGCCAAGGCATGCTCAATGCCCAAAAATCCCTGGATCATATACTTGGCTAACCACTTCAATGCTGCTGGAACTTCAGTGAGGACATCTGGGTCTGCCATCTTTAGCAACAAACTCCAACTTTAAATATACAAAGCGAATCCTCAAACACTCCTGCATGTTTATAAGAAACTACCAAACTATTCTTGGCCGGGCGCGGTGGCTCAAGCCTGTAATCCCAGCACTTTGGGAGGCTGAGACGGGCGGATCACGAGGTCAAGAGATCGAGACCATCCTGGCTAACAAGGTGAAACCCCGTCTGTACTAAAAAATACAAAAAGCTAGCTGGGCAAGGTGGCGGGCGTCTGTGGTCCCAGCTACTCGGGAGGCTGAGCCAGGAGAATGGTGTGAACCCGGGAGGCGGAGCTTGCAATGAGCTGAGATCCGGTCACTGCACTCCAGCCTGGGCGACAACGCCAGACTCGGTCTCAAAAAAAAAAAAAAAAAAAAAAAAAAAGAAACTACCAAACTATTCTTTAAGTGCCTGTAATTTTGTAATTCCACTAGCAATGTGAGAATTCTAGGTATTCTGCATCCTTGTCAGCAGTTGATATTGTCAGTCTTTTTTTTTTTTTTTTTTTTTTTGGGTTTTTCTGCTTGTTGCCCAGGCTGGAGTGCAATGGTGTGATCTTCGCTCACTGCAACCTCCACCTCCTGGGTTCACGTGATTCTCCTGCCTCAGCCTCCCAAGTAGGTGGGGTTACAGGCGTGCACCACCATGCCCTGGTAATTTTTGTGTTTTTTAGTAGAGATGGGGTTTTGCCATGTTGGCCAGGCTGGTCTCAAACACCTGACCTCAGGTGATGCACCAGCCTCGGCCTCCCAAAGTGCTGGGATTACAGGTGTGATCCACCATGCCCAGCTGGAAAAATACTTATAAGCATACTACAGTGTTAAAAAAAAGCAGAGCATTTGCCAGGCACAGTGGCGCACGCCTGTAATCCCAGCACTTTGGGAGGCCGAGGCAGGTGGATCATGATGTTAGGAGATCGAGACAATCCTGGCTAACACAGTGAAACCCCGTCTCTACTAAAAATACAAAAATTTAGCCGGGCATGGTAGCACGTGCCTGTAATCCCAGCTACTCAAGAGGCTGAGGCAGGAGAATCACTTGAACCCAGGAGGCAGAGGTTGCAGTGAGCGGAGATTGTGCCACTGCATTACAGCCTGGGTGACAGAGCAAGACTCCATCTGAAAAAAAAAGAAAAAGAAAAATGTAGAACACAAACTAGGTGAATTCAGTATATATAATATAATTTCAGGAAAAAAGGGAGATGGAAATGCACACAAAATTCCAAACATATTTGAGATGATTTTTTTCTATACTCTAGTTTTCCTTGATGTGACTATGATTGTTACCTTGTCACTAATAATAAAAGAGGAAAAGCAAATAGATGTGAAATAGAGGGGTTCTAGCAAGAGACTCTTGACTCCTATAAAGACGTGAATGGTTATTACAAGCACGTTACTTTTTCTGCTTCTCCAAGAGTTGCATTCTGGTGAAAGAGAGGTGAGTGTGACATGGAACTCAAGAGCACAGTGGTCTTGCATCACTATTTTGCTGGTGCTGGACCAAAGCTGTGAAGTGTAGAGTCCACAGGCCACCTATGCTGGCCACCAGTGCCTCCTTCTTGCAGGCAGTGCTCTTGGAGACAGCATTCCTGTCATTCCCTTCTGATCATCATTCAGCTGCAAATAAGTATTACCTCAGGAAGCCAGAGTGTTCAGCTCTGTCACTCACACTATTGTGATTATTCTCAACCATTATCTTACTGAGATCAGCATCCGAAATACATTGATGTCACAAAAAAGATGGTGATGTTGGCCAAAAGAGGAAGCCTAACTTTCCACATAGTCATTCGATGGATATTACTGACAGCATGTGCCAGTGCTAAGCACTGTTCTAGACATTGAGGATTCAGCAAGGAGCAAAACCCAGCTGTCTGTATTTCATAGATTTTACCTTCTAGTAAAGGAAGACAGAACAGTAAATTATAAGGAAATAAGTTTTCTGAATGAAGCAATAGATATAGGATTAAGCTTTTCATTAATTCATTCATCCAAACTATTTTTTGGAGCAACTTCTGTATGCCTGACTGCTGGATAGGAGGGAGGTAACAGTGAACAAACAAGTTCCTAACACCTGCAGCTTCCAGTTTAATAGGCAGGACTGGGTATTTTGCACTATGATAGGACAGCACATAAAAAGGCAATGGCCAGTTAGGGCGCAGTGGCTCACGCCTGTAATCCCAGCTCTTTGAGAGGCCGAGGCAGGTGGATCATGAGGTCAGGAGTTCGAGACCAGCCTGGCCAACATAGCGAAATCCTGTCTCTACTAAAAATACAAAAATTAGCTGGGCATGGTGGTGGGCGCCTGTAATCCCAGCTACTCGGGAGGTTGAGGCAGGAAAATCACTTGAACCCGGGAGGTGGAGGTTGCAGTGAGCCAAGATCATGCCATTGCACTCCAGCCTGGGTGGCAAGAGCAAGACTCCATCTCAAAAAAAAAAAAACGAAAGCGAAAAAGAAAAGAAATGCCATATTAGGCCAGGCATGGTGGCTCATACCTGTAATCCAAATACTTTGGGAGGCCGAGGCTGGTGCATCACCTGAGGTCAGGAGTTTAAGACCAGCTGGCCAACATGGTGAAACCCTGTCTCCACTAAAAGTACAAAAATTAGCCTGGTGTAGTGGTAGGTGCCTGTAATCCCAGCTACCTGGGAGGCTGAGGCAGGAGAATCACTTGAACCTGGGAGGTGGAGATGGCAGTGAGCCAAGATCACGCCACTGCACTCTCCAGTTTGGCCAACAGAGGGAGACTCCATCTCAAAAATAAATAAATAAAGATAATAATATAGGTTATTGTGGAAGACAGTAGTTATACAAAGTAGTTACACAATCCTTTGTCAAAAGCCCCCTTAGTAGAGCACATCTCCCCCATGATTATTTGCTTTGTTATTTCATATATAAACAAGCATTGGAACTAAGATGGGCACCTTCCTCCTCTTGCTTCTGGGAACTCCCTGCTCTGTCCACGGAGTAGCCATTCTTTCATTCCTTTGCTTTCTTAATAAACTTGCTTTTACTATACTCTGTGGACTACCCCCAGGTTCTTTTGTAGCAGGACGAGCCACAGACAAAACTCCTCAGACACTGGGTTAAAGAAGGAAGGAGCTTTATTCGGCCAGGAACTTTGGCAGACTTGCATCTCAAAAGCTGAGCTCCCCAAGTGAGCAATTCCTGTCCCTTTCAAGGGCTTACAACTCTAAGGGGGAATGTCTGCATGAAAGGGTCATGATTGACTGAGCAAGCAGGGGGTATGTGACTGGGGGCTGCATGCACTGGTAATCAGAATAGAAGAGAACTGGACAGGGATTTTCACAATGCTTTTCCATACAATGTCTGGAATCTATAGATAACATAACTGGTTACGTCAGGGGTCGATCTTTAACCAGGTCCAGGGCGCAGTGCCGGGCTATCTGCCTGTGGATTTCATTTCTGCCTTTTAGTTTTTACTTCTTCTTTCTTTGGAGGCAGAAATCGGGCGTAAGACAATGCGAGGGGTGGTCTACTCCCTTATTCCCCCACTTAGAGAACCTCACTCCTTAGTGGGAGTTTTCACTTTCATCCTCACTACCCATGTCTTCTTGCAAGACAAATCGACAGTGATTCATATAGTACACTTGTGCTGAAGTATTTTGACAGACTAATGTAGTAACAAAACTTTTCATTACTTAAAGGAGCAAAGGCAGCACACAGGGAAGCAACAAACAGGTTGCTATTACTATTATAATTCCCATGATAGGAGTTTTAAATCCTCCTAGTGCTGGAAACCATTTTCCAAACATGGACCTAGGATTGCACCCACGCCACACCTGCACAGTCACATGTGCCAGCTTTGTTATATCTTTAACTATATCTTCAACTACTTGCCCTTGGTCGTCTATGTGCAGACAGCAATTGGTCAGGTTAAACTTTCCACAGACCCCTCCTTCAGCTGCTAGCAAGTAGTCTAGGGCTAGTCTATTTTTATAGATAACATTTCTCATCTGGGTTTCTTTTTTTTTTTTTGAGACGGAGTCTCGCTCTGTCACCCAGGCTGGAGTGCAGTGGCCGGATCTCAGCTCACTGCAAGCTCCGCCTCCCGGGTTCACGCCATTCTCCTGCCTCAGCCTACCGAGCAGCTGGGATTACAGGTGCCCGCCACCTCGCCCGGCTAGTTTTTTTTTTGTATTTTTTAGTAGAGACGGGTTTCACTGTGTTAGCCCGGATGGTCTCGATCTCCTGACCTCGTGATCTGCCCGTCTCGGCCTCCCAAAGTGCTGGGATTACAGGCTTGAGCCACCGCGCCCGGCCTCATCTGGGTTTCTTGCAGGGCTAAAACAGTTAAAGCTCTGCCAGTTTTATTAGTGATTATTTCTAAGACAGTTTGTAACCGTATGATTCGGTTGAGCATATAAATGGGGGTCTGGTACTCCCACAAGCCGTCCTGTGCCCAAGTGGCAGGCCCATGGTACTGTACGATTCTTTCAGGGGGCCACTTGTCATCTTTCAGTTGCCTATGGCTATGCTTTTTTTTTTTTCTCAGGAAGCATAGACAGGGAAGCCTAGGAGCTCCCCTGTTTCTATGGGCAGTAGGAAAAAGGGTGGCTTAATGGCATCAATAACACAACTACCTGCCCATTGGTCAGGTAACTTGGCATAGGCTCTATGCCCACATATCTGGTATAATCCAGTGGGGGCTGTCCAGTCCTGGTGGGACGCCAGGTGGGTCCACATGGTTTGCAACTTTGGAAATTTACTAAACAGATTTTTTTTCAGTGTGGTTTGAACTCCACCAGGTGGCTGTTTTTGTAGTACTGTTATACAGTTTTTGCCCAAGGCAGCTGAGTCTTCCCACGGAAGGGAATGTCTTCCCACATTCCTCACCCTTGCCATACAGTATTGTCTAATAATTGAGGTTTTTCAGAACCCAGAAGTTGCCGGTTTTTAATCTTATTTTAAAAACGGTAGTCATAGGTGACTCAGATGGGTTATAGCACACATTAGGCTGGTCACTTCCTGGGCTACATACCTTGTATAGCATTATACAAATCAGTTCCTTTTAGAGTCCCTGTACACTTATAATGACCATAAAATAAGAGGACTGTAGCAACCTTTTGTCCTACCTC